CTGTATGTGGCTAGGCTCCCAAAAAGTCTTGCATGTGGGGTATCTCCATACTTGGTAGAAGTAGCAGAATGTATTTTGGGGTGTAATTCCACATATACCCATGGCTCTTGTGAGCAATTTATCATTTAAGTGACAAAAAAAAGTGTTAAAAAAAAAATGTTTTTGTCATTTTCCAAAAACTTGTGGAAAAAAAATAAACCTTCCATGGACTCAATATGCCTCTCAGCAGATAGCTTAGGGTGTCTATGGTCGTTTAGGGGTGTTTGTATTGTCATGGTATTTTAGCACCTCAAGAAATGTGATAGGCAGTCAAAGTAAAAGGTGTGTAAATTCCATTATCTATACCATAGTTTGTACAGGGTTGTGGAAATATTTTAAAAACTACTTGTCCAGGGACTAAATCGGTGTCCCAATGTACTTGTCGCTCATGACAATATACTTGTCCTGATAAACACAAATTTAACCAAAACCATATTTAAATCTGCTTTAAGTAATGTCTGGGGCTTTTAAAAACAAAAGGGGCTTTATGGCGACTTAAAAACGTGTAATATTTTTAGCATTGCTAAAAATCCCCTCCCTGTCTGTCTCCAGCCCCACTCCCGGGGACTAACAGGGAGAGAAGAGACCTTGCAGTGTAATGAGCTGCTCATCAGGAAAGGGTAGGTCAGGGCTTATACTTTATCCCTTTTGCTGCCAGAGCTGTTTTTGCGGTTTTTTGTACATTTGTACATGTCAAACCTTAAATTTGCGTTCACTTGTGAAATGGCAACAAACTTTAGTAACCCTATATTTTCTATAGGTTGACACTTTTAAAGCTCCTTATAGGTTATCAGTATAGTGTTACAGAGGAGGTCTGGAGCTAGAATTATTCTAGTATGCGCGGCGATATGTAACTTGTGTATTGCAATCCACGTTTTCATGTGTAGTGTAGGCGCCCAAGCATGTGCTTTTACGTTTGTGCGTACATATGTGGGGGCGGGGGCCCTTCATAAATTTGGGGGTGTTACATGCTTAGGTGTAACTTCCATTTAATAAAAAAATTTAATTAACTTTTTTTTGTTAAATCACCTAGTCCCCTATGTGATGATTTTTGGTGACCGGTTCTATTTTTTTGAGACATCCGGGGTCTAAAAGACCCTGCATGTCTCCCCTGTACTACACTTAATTTAATGCAGTGCACATTGCACCACATTACATTCTTTCCTGGCCTCACTGACCGGGAACCCGGAAGTGACGTCACATCACCTCCGGGTCAGGAGAGGGAGGGGAGCGGAGCTGATGTGTCCGCTTTCCTCCCTCCCCTATACCACATCCCGCGGCACCCACCGAACCAGTCTCAAGCCCACAGATGGGCAAGCGGAGCCCGGGACATATAGTGGGGGAGAGGCTGACACTGTGGGTTTCTCCCTCCCCTCTAGCCGACGGCGAGTCAGGCCCAAAGATGGGCAAGCGGAGCCCGGTAAACCTCATGTCGGGGGCATGAAGAGGCTGGCACTGTGTGAAAGCAATCGACGGCAGCGTTGCCGCCGATTGTTTTACCTAAACGTGAGCCCACTGCTTACCCACAGCAGGGCTAAAGGCCAAAAAAGACTACCTGCCCGGCACCCAGAGCTACATGTCCCTTGTGTCGGGCGATAGGAATTTCTCATCTCTGTTTGTAGATGCTGTAACTTTCACACAAAGCAATCAATATACATTTTGGCCTAAATTTTTGACAAAATTTGAGTTTTTTTGGATATTTTTTTGACAGAAATGAGAAAATATTGTTTTCAAAATTTTCTGTCTTTTTGTTTATAGCATGAAAAAATAAAAAGTGCACAGGTGATCAAATACCACCAAAAGAAAGCTCTATTTGTGTGTACAGCATTGCATAACCGCCCAATTGTCAGGTAAACTAGCGCTGTATAGCAAAAAATGGCGTAAATTGCAGTATCTATACCATAGTTTGTAGATGCTATAACTTTCACACAAAGCAATCAATATACACTTATTGGGATTTTTTTTTTAACAAAAATATGTAACAGCATGCATTTGTGGCCTAAATGTATGACCAACTTTTAATTTAATTTACTATATATTTTTTATAGCCAAAAGGTCTGTTCTTGTGTATAGGTTGAAAAATAATAAGCGCACAGGTGATCAAATACCACCAAAAGAAAGCTCTATTTGTGTGAAAAGGTCGTAAATTTCGTTTGGGTACAGCATTGCATGACCGAGTAATTATCAGTTTAAATAGTGCAGAGCAAAAAAAGGCCTGGTCAGGAAGGGGGTTAAATCCTCAGGAGGGCAAGTGGTTAAACTACCCCTACCATTCTGTGCGCACACATTTAAACGTAAATGCACACGTTGGGGTGCTTGTAAACAATAATTGCACAACACCACTGCACACGCCGAAGTGAAAGCAATAATTCCACTCTATACTGATAAGTTGTAAAGCCCTTTAACGTTGGTGATTTTTTATTATGATTAATAATAATAAACCGGATTTATATAGCGCCAACAGTTTGCGCAGCACTTTACAAAATGAAGGTTGACATAACAGTTACAATAAAATTTGGTACAGGAGGAAACAGAAGGCCCTGCTTGTTAGAGCTTACAATTTTGGGCCACGTATTTATTTTTTTAATCTGTTTTGCAAATGCTAAAAGTTTTGAGGTCTGACATATTTGGTAACTTTTTTTTATATCTTTTATTAGATCTTTATTTTTCCTAAATACTAATGAAAAGAACATCAAATACACACATCAGGATAAATGACACAAGCCATAACAAGCTTCTCCAATGCATCCCTACCACCCCATATCATAATTTCCCTACTTCCCTCATCCCATCTCTTTCCCCCCCAGACTCTGTAAAACCATGCCACTTTTTTAGTCTCTAACCTTTTTCATCTTTGTCAGTTTATATCTGTATTCCCTTCATCCTAGCCCCTTTTCTCTGTGGGCCATTCTTAGCAACTTCCCCCCGTACTCATTTACTTCCTTCCCAGTAGTTCATAATACCTTTTAGTTGTTTTAAAGATCAACCACTTACTCCATATTCTCCCACATTTTGCCACTTTATCCTCCTCATATGACACAGCTCCTCCATCCTATAAATATTATCTACTCTTTTTACCAGTCATTCATACTTGGTGGGTCAGGGACCCGCCAGAACTTAGGAATCAGGCCCTTAGACTCACTAATTACATGGTATAGTACCCTGTCCTTGCGTCGTTTTATCGAAGGTTCAGATTTATAAAATAAACAAATCTACGGATTTCTCTGTATAGTAGTCCCACAAATTTCCTTAATATATTGTAATACTTCCTTCCAATATTTTTGTATCTTTTTGGCATTCTCACCATATACGTGTCATTGTACCCTTTCCCCCACAACCTCTCCAACATAAAGGTAAAACCTCTACTTGTTGTTTATGTGCTTTATTCGGTGTAATATACCATCTAGTCATGCATTTTATAATTCATTTCCTCCGTGTTCATGTTTGTCAGCTCGTATGCTAATTTAAACAAATTATTCCTCTGTTGTTCGTTCAACTTTCATCCCAACTCCCGCTCCCATTTCTCCAAGAACTGAGGGGGTGGGTCAGTACCTTCTGTATCCATAAGGATCTTATAGATCTTAGAAGTACCCCATTTCGGGGCTGTCATTATATTCAACAATTTCTCAAATGGGTAGTGCTCCTCCAGCGTCCTCAGTGGTTGTGGGAGTGTCGAAACAAAGTGAGCCAATTGACCATACCTCCATTCATTCAATGTGAAAAATAAATCTGTCCTTTAAATCAGACAATATGCATACTCTTTTAACCGTGTATTCTGATCTTTGATCCATTTCCCAGAGATATTATCCTTCCCTGGTGGGAAGTACTCCGTTCCCACCAAGGGGATCATACCAGAGTTATATTTCCATCCTCTTTGATTGTGCAATCTGTCCCAAACACTAATGTGCAAAACTTGTGGTACCTAAACCAACTTTCCTAACTGCCTTACTCAGCGTTTCTTCCATATTCACCCAACCTTTCCCTTGTGAATTGAATACCCAATCTATTATTCATGGACACATCACCACTTGTTAATAACTCTTAACATTTGGCAACCCCAAACCCCCATTATCTTTTGATGTACACAGCGTCTCATGCTTAATTCTTGGTTTTTTATTAGCCCAAATAAACTTGCAAATCAACGTCTGTATTATCCCAAAAAAGGATCTTGGTATATATATTGGAAGCATATGGAACCTATACAAAATTTGTGGTACTATCAATTTGGTAACTTTTTATTCAACATATCCGCCTCCTTTTATTTTGTACAAAAAAATGGGAATTATGTTTTTGTGCCCTAAAATTGATTACAAGGTCCTTTCAGACAAACTGCATTCACTTCAATCAGCAGGGAATTTATGAACAGATCCCCATACGAATCCTAGCAGAACATCACAATGGATATCCTTTTTGTGACATCCTTGTCTAATTTTTCTTCCCTGAGCTGAACAGAACCACGTTATGTCTTTGGGCAGGTGGATGTAAATTGATGTGAGATGTACTAAATGTTTTTGGGTTTGTTTTTTTTAATTTTGACTTCACATACACTTTAATAGACCATAAGAGAGCAAAAAAAGGGAAGTTTATTGTTGAGATTTAAATACACTGTAAAGTCAATAGTGTTTTAGGTTCTGTGTTTTCTAATATTAAAGTTTGTGTTGCTTGAACATATATGGATTGTTTGAAACTTTTTTGTCTAGCTGAATGTCTTCAATTCTCTTTTTATTTAGAGATGTTATGAACACAAGCAATATCGAAATGGGTTGAAGTTTTGTAAGCAGATACTTTCCAATCCCAAATTTGCTGAACATGGGGGTAAGTGTTGATGATTAAGTGTTTCCTGTATGTGTATTTGTGTTGATTTACTGGTCTAAGAATAACATTTCATTGCCTAATTGTTACAATTAGTGCTACCAATAGCATCACTAAATCTACAGTTTTTCTCTACAGAAACTCTGGCAATGAAAGGATTGACTTTAAATTGTCTTGGGAAGAAAGAGGATGCTTATGATCTTGTACGAAGAGGACTAAGAAATGATCTAAAGAGTCATGTCTGTATCCTTTGCAAACCTTATAATCCTATCCAAGTTGTATTCTTGGTAATGAATCTTATACAATCCTTCTAAGTGGCTTTCAGATCCCGCTTTTTGGTATGCATTAATTGTCTTAAATAGACTATGCACCATTTTAAGAGGTGTTTTTATTTTTAGCATTGGGCATAGTTGTGAATAAAAAGATTTTGTGTATAACTATGTGAATGTTTGTGCATATTGAGTTGGAAACTTTCTTAACTTGCTTATTAAGGCTGGCATGTATATGGATTATTACAAAGGTCCGATAAAAAGTACGATGAAGCCATCAAGTGTTACAGAAATGCATTGAAATGGGACAAAGACAATCTCCAGATCCTTAGGGATCTCTCTCTGCTTCAAATTCAAATGCGGGACCTTGAGGGTTACCGGGTATGTAAATATTTTAAATTTCCTAGTGCACCAATAACAGCATTATGTATCTGACGGCCATTACCTGAGTGAAAAAGTGCCTTTAGATTATTGGGATATGAAATCCTTACGGAATTCTTAATTTTTTTTTTAATGTATAATATTTAACTACAGCCTTCTGTTCAGTCTTGCACAGTTATACAGGCTCAACTTCTGTAGTAAAATTACTGATTTCACTGCACATTGTCATCTTTTCACTATGTGCATTAGAAGGCTGTAGCAAGTTAGATGGAGCCTGCCTTATTTTCTGACTGGAGGATGTCCATCACCATCTAAAACTTTTCAGCCCAGCCTGACTCTTCTTGGCCCATCCATGACTCAGCATCACATATGGGCGTTGCCTAATATAAATGCCCAGCAGAACAAACTTCTCTAGACTGATCTATGCCTATCTGAGGCACAGAGACTCAGTAATATCACTGGATCTAAAATAAAGTATGTAATGACAACGAAAAATGTTATTTAAAAATGGCTCTTCTCATGTTGATGAAGGGGGGAGGAACCAGGGAAGACAAAATATAGCAGATTATAAACAGATTAAACTTCAGCTTTAAGTGCACATTTTTCTTGATTTGCAGGAAACCAGGTACCAGTTGCTGCAGTTGAGGCCAGCACAGAGGGCATCTTGGATTGGTTATGCTATTGCGTACCATTTGCTTGAAGACTATGAGATGGCTGCAAAGATCCTGGAGGAATTTCGGAAGACCCAGCAGGTATTGCAACTGGTTGTTGGCTGAGACACAGCAGTGGGATCCGTTGGCCCTCATTATTGTCAATCACAGCCAGTGAGCCAATGCGGAGAGTGGGGGGAGCAGGGCTGAGCTGTGGCTCTGTGTCTTATGGACACATAGAACAGGTCTCGGGAGCAAGCACGCACCATTGCCCCCATAGCAAGTTGCTTGCTATTGAGAACAGTGGCAAAAGAGGGAGTAGCCACTAGCACCAGCGGGGTACTCGATAAGAGGAGGATTGGGGTTGCTCTGTGAAATCATTCGGACAGGCAATGTGCCACATTTCTGTCCAAATCACGTCATTCTTTGCAGTGCGATTTGGGCCCATTCATTTTGTATGGGCTCAAATTGCACCGCAAAGGTATTTGTTTTAGGTATTGGAGCATTAGTACAAGTACTTGTGCAAATTCTTAGTATCGGTGCAACCTTAACTTTCATCGTATATTCCGGAACACAGGATGAAATGATTCAGGTACATTGGTTATGCTATTGCATACAGGAAAGTGGACACTGCCAAAACAAAGCTGTGAGGACACCCCAGTATATCCACTTTCACTTCAAGCATGCTTCAGTTTTTTGCTAGTGTCCTAGGAGAATGGATGTCTTCTCTCCTGAGCGGAGCAAGATACTTGTTACTTTTTCTACCTTTACCAAGATATTGTTTTCTACTAGCAAGTTTCTTCACTGCAGAGCCTGCCATCTCTCTATCCTGCTCTTAAACCTCTTAAGGGAATTTTCTGCCAAAGCCTGGATGTGATACAGGCTGTTTGAGTTTTTGTCACTAAGCTACAGCTCCCTAGTTCCACTCTTTCTGAAGGTCCCGGCCTACTTCTGATTCCATTACCACTAGGTGATGTATCAGTTCATCATTCAAGTTTATGACCTTAAGGCCAAGGTTCCTTATGTTGCACTTCTGTGATCCATAGTACAGCCAGAAAAAGCTTTAGCTATACTTCTCCTATTAATGCAGTTTGCAGATTGTGAACTATTACATAGTTTTGCTCTAATTGTACTGAGGAGAACGGGCATCATCTGATGGATTTGTGCCTTGCTGCCTTCTGTAATTGATAAGCCCTTTTGCTTATATGGGAACCATATAATCTATGTATAATTTTGTAACAAGTTTAGCTGGTTTGTGGGTCTGCAGGTGTTTCAAAGCTTTGTGTTTTCTTGCATGAACCGTCAGAAGGCATAATTGCTGCAAAAAGTAGTTTCTCTGAGAGATTATGCATTTACAAATTTATCTGCCACTGATTATTTTGGTGCAAGGCTTTGGTGGTTTCCTAAGTAAACTTTGACGTTTTACCTCTGTTTTGTTAAAGATAAGTACTTGCCCTTGTAAATAGTTGGTTATTACTTATCATGTTGTGTAAAACTAAAATTGGAAGGCACAATTCCATTTTTTTTTCCATTTAATTTGTTCATGTTTGCTTAAAGAAAGCTTGTTATTTGAGAAACATGGGGACTGTCATTGCTGAGTACCCCTGAAAATTCTGGTTGCCTAGTTGTCATATCTGACCACTTTTTAAATATAAAAATGGGGGCTTGCAACTTTGACTGTGTTTTCTGATCTTTATATTTGCTTGGAGTTGAATAGTAATTCCAATGGGACAGAATTACCAGTTGGGCAATTAGCTGTCTTAGTGGGTAATTGGCTGTGGCAGCCTGCTTAGTTCTTTTATAGCCTATCCCAGCCATCTTTTTTTTTTTCTCTGTTTGGGCATTTGAGTGACACAGTACATCTTTTAACCTTCAGGTTATACTGCTGTCAGGTGGATTGGACACTGGCAAACAGGATAAAAACAACTGTAGATCAGCCTAAAATCTAATTTTTATTTATTTAGTTTAACTTTTAGGTACTGTGGCAAAGCGTTCATTTGCCAGCTTTTTTTAATCTTTGTTACTCAATTTTCCTTGAATTCTTTTTTACGGTACCTGTGACACTCAACTGGGGTGCCAGTTACAGGAAAGCGCAGACAGCCTAGAACATTTTTAGAAGTTCTAAATATTTCCCCATTCTATTAAATTGTTTTTATTTGTTCCTCTTTGAAGGCATGTAGAGCGATGCCACCACTCCATGCCAGTATATAAATCCTTCACCTCTGGAACTCCAGATGCTTAACAAAAGGAACCCAAACATGCTTCACAAATTGAGCAAGAAAGCAGCAGGTTGTACACTGATCATGTCAGATCACATCCAACTTTAATATTAGAGTCAGACAAGCACACTGCAGCCCAGTCTAGGACTCCTTTTATATTTCATCCAGTACAGGCTTGAACGCATTATTGGGTGAAATGATAATAGAGGGGTGGGGCTGCAGCATGCTTTGTCTAAATTTTAATGATGTAGGATGTATTCTGGCATCATTGGTATGTGATTTTCTGCTTTTCAGTTTTAGACATTTCATTAACTTATTGGTGTCAGTCACATAGATGGAAATCTCAACAAGTGTGTGTAGCCCTTACCAACCTGTCTCTGTAAAATGTAGTTTGGGCTCAAGTTTGGCCTAAAAATATCATTACTTTAAAAAACGTTATCTTCCACCAATACATTAACTAGTAGTGATTTTCAGATCTTTAGAACTCCAAGAATGATGATGGTATAGTATAGCTTTCCTCTCCTTCCTTTGCTACTGGCTATATTTGCTAGTTGGCTAAGGCTGTTATCTGGCTAGGGTGTTTTTGACAACTTGTGTGGATAGAAAGTTGGGAAGTTATTGCTGTGGCCATCCTGTTAAGGTTTTTTTTGGGTCAAAGTCTGCGAGTGAAATGTTAACTAATCCTTTATTAAAATTACTAAGCTTATGTCATTTTGGGTTTCTGTATTTTTGAATGTGTTCTGTACAAGGGTTCTCAGTTGTTAAAGTTCTGTGCTCTCTGTTTCTTTTAGACCTCTCCTGATAAAGTTGATTATGAGTATAGTGAGTTGCTGCTTTATCAGAACCAGGTTCTTCGTGAAGCTGAGCTTTTTAAGGAGGCATTGGATCATCTTTCTACATATGAAAAGCAGATCTGTGATAAGCTAGCAGTGGAAGAAACAAAAGGTACATTTTTCAAGTTTTGTGTGCATTGATCTTTAAATCATGTGGATAATATCCAGAATAGGTTGTATTTCTTTGACTTTCAGGGAAGTTGGATTCCTATCGCCCGACGCCCGGGACATGTTGTTCTGGGCACTTGGCAGGTAGTTTCTTTCTACCTTTAGCCCTGCTGCGGGCAAGCAGCAGAGCTCACCTGTCAGCGCTGCCGCCGATTTGCTTCCACACAGTGCCAGCCTCTCCACTACCCCAACGTGAGGTCTCCGGGGCTCCGCATGTCCATCTGCGGGCCCAGCTCACCGTCGCCTAGAGGGGAGGGAGAAGAGTGGATAAGTCTGCTCCCCTTTTTGTGCTGACCTGGAAGTGACATTATGATGTCACTTCTGGGTCCCCGTTGAGAGATTGTAATGTGATCCCCGGTAAAGAGCAATTCCCAGTGGATGTCTCAAAGAGAACCCATCACCAAAAATCATCATATAGGGGACTTTGACAAGTTGGATATCTATATACTCACTGCAACCTCATCTTTTATATTTTACAAAAAAAAAGGCAATTTATTGCTTTTTTTTTTTTGTACCACTGCTTTATTTTTTTGGGTCTCTGCTTTTCAGAAAATATATAATGTTTGAGGTTTTATATAATCTTCAGGCCTAAAATTATTTTTTAAATGTGTGCAAAAAAAATGCAAAAACGGCTCTGGCAGCAAAAGGGATAAAGTATAAGCCCTGACCCACCCTTTCCTGACGAGCTGCCAATCGGTGCTCATTACATTGCAAGGCCTCTCTCCTCCCTGCTATTCCCCGGGTGCCGTGCTGGAGACAGGCGGGGGGGAGGAAGGAGGAGATAAACAGCGCAATGTTAAAAATATTACACGTTTTTAAATTGCCATAAAGCCTCTTTTTGTTTTTTAAAAGCCCCAGACATTCCTAAAATAACCTTCGATTTAAATATGGTTTTGGTTAAATTTTATTTTATTTTTTTTTTTTTGGACAAGAAGATTGGGGCCCGATTTAGTCCCTGGACAAGTAGTTTTTTAAAAATGTCCACACCCCTGACTTTAAAAATATGTATCATATTTGAAATTTTTTACACCATTGCTTCTGTATGAAATCTTTAATTGAATCTCAAGATAACATCAGTAGCAGTTTACATTGTGGATACATGGAAGTCTCTGTTTTGATTTGAAAAATACTTAAACTATTAAAGTACAGCTGTACCTAAACTATTCAGATGGACTGATGTGTAACTAAACTGGTACTGTCCTTTAACCTTTTGCTGCCGTATACATATATGCAGTACGGTATATCTTGAAAGACAAAACATTTGGGCTTTAGAAACTTCTTGCTGAAGCACACAGTGCGCAGAAGTCACCAACTGTCTTCAGAGTCAATAGCTAAAGACCTCCAAACTTCGTGTGGCCTTCAGATTAGCACGACAGTATGTAGAGAGCTTCATCGAATGGGTTTCCATGACTGAGCAGCTGCATCCAAGCCTTACATCACCAAGTGCAATGCAAAGCGGTGTAAAGCACTCCGCCACTAGACTCTAGAGCAGCGGGGACATGTCCTCTGGAGTGACGAAGCACACTTCTCTGCCTGGCAATCCGATGAACATGTCTGCTATTAGTGGTTGCCAGGAGAACAGTACTTGCCTGACTGCATTGTGTAAAGTTTGGTGGAGGGGAGATTATGGTGTGGGGTTGTTTTTCAGGGGTTGGGCTTGGCCCCTTGGTTCTAGTGAAGGGAGCTCTTAAGGCTTCAGAATACCAAGACATTTTAGACAATTTCATGCTCCCGACTTTGTGGGAAGAGTTTGGGGATGGCCCCTTCCTGTTCTAACATGTCTGTGCACCAGTGTACAAAGCAAGGCCCATAAAGACATGGATGAGTGAGTTTGGGGTGGAGGAACTTGACTGGTCTGCACAGAGTCTTGCGCAGACTGCGAGCCTTCTCATCCAACATCCTTGCCTGACCTCACTAATGCGCTTCTGAAGAATGGTCAAACATTCCCATAGACACACTCCTAAACCTTGTGGACAGCCTTCCCAGAAGAGTTGAATCTGTTATCGATGCAAAGGCTGGGCCAACTCAATATTGAACCCTATGGACTAAGACTGGGATGCCATTAAAGTTCATGTGCGTGTGAAGGCGCCCCCAATACTTTTGGCAATATAGTGTGTGTGTCTGTGTGTATTTAAAAATGTTTTTATCTAATTCTGAATTTTCTTTCCCCAAATGTTTTTCACTAACCATTTTTTTCTGGGGGGGGGGGGGGGGGGGGGGGGGGGTGGTATAAATTTTGGAACTGAGGAATGCACTAAAAAAAAAAAAAATCAAACATTTAATAAACTGTTATATCTCCACAACATGTAGGTCTTGAGTGTGTGGGTGCTGAGATAAGGTGTTTAAATATTTTTTTAAAAATATATCTGGTGTTATGGTGCTTTTAAATAATACCTAGTTCCTGTTTTGTTTGCTTTTCAGGAGATTTATTGCTGCATTTGGGTCGACTTGAGGAGGCAGCAGATGTGTATCAGGGTTTGCAGGAGAGGAGCCCTGAGAACTGGTCATATTATAAGGGTTTAGAAAAGGCCATAAAGCCAGGTAATTAATCATTATTGTATATATTCAATACTGTTCAAGCTGAATTAAGTCTAAAAGACAAATTACTCGGACAGGAAGGATTCTTATGACAAGAGACCCTATTGGTCTCTTCTGTCATAAATCTTTCTTAATGCCTGTCAGCATTGGTATACACTGAGCTGCACAGATCAGCGTATGTTTGCGGCATGGCTCTGTGTAGTGACAATGTGATTCCAATGTACGAGAGTGATGTCACCAAGGCTGAAGAGCCCTAACCTGAAAAGAAGACCTGGAGAAGAAAGCAGTGCTCACGATGGACTGGAACACTGACAGTGCTGCACTGGAAGAGATCACTAAATAGGGTAAGTCTGCAACAATGTGCTAATATGCTGGGCATGCTAGTAGATCATGGCTAAAAGCTCCTGGGGCCCAATTTACATTTTTTTTTTTTTTTTTGTAACGGAGGGTTAATTCTGCATTAAACCTAGAAACCACTACACATACAGTGGAAACAGGTTATAATTTCTTTTGTCAATTACCCTATTGCAGATTTTCTCTCGTTCCTTGTCTGGAAAAAATGCTATCTCCAAAACAGGAAGTAAGGGGAAATCTGTGTAAAGGAGCCCCGAATAGCATAGAAGTAAAGCCTGACAAATGTCCTAAACCCTTCCCACTGAGATTGCTGACTTTCTGATCTTGCTAACTGCCAAGCTGTTATAACTATTCTGTTACTCTAGAACTGACCCGGGGTAAACACGTCGCAAGCAAATTTAGAATATCCTTGTCCTGCATATTGATATCGGGTCAGATACAAGACAATAAGGAAGCAGTGGGTTTTGTATGCCAGCTGGATAATGAGCATGTTCATATGAAGCAAAAAGTGTCAGCCTATGTATTTCTCAGGAGGAGTTTCATTTGTCAATGTATGTCGATGGACATCAGTTTGAGATCATTCAAAATTTGACTGGTGCAATTGACCTGTAGTTGATCACCTCCTAAAATGCATGAACTGCTTGAAGTGGGTTTTGCATTCCTAAAGACTGTTAATAGATCCCAAGTGTGCTCAAAAAATGGTAAGAGTGATGCTCCCGCCTGCTTGCTTCTTGCTCCTCATAGTGACTCCGATGGTAAGCTCTCATTGTGGTAGATCTTGGCTCTGTCCTGCCTATTCCTTTTGTTGCTTCCATATATAAGTGAGCAAAAATGCAAATAGGCTGGATCATAATGGCTGAAGCATGTGTGGCCTTGGTAAACAAAGCTCTTGCCACTGGAGTTTTCAAGAGACATAGGGAAATATTAGGTGGTTGAATTCTCCATTGCCCACCAGAAACTCCGATACCAGTTTTCAATTAAATTGGGCCTTTAAAAAAAATTGAGAGAGACCAGAACCCCCTTGTGAGATTTGCATCTGGTCGCTGCAGCTCGAAATGTAGATCGGTATTGCATTGCTGGAATCCATAAGAAATATGGGGAGAAAATAGATGAGTTTGAAAGGAAATTATAACATTTTGTCCCTAACTTTGCCACTGTAACATTTGCTCTTTAAATTGGTCTGGGTGTACTTGTCAAGAAACTTAACTGCATGTACAATTAAAAGGAAATATGCAGAGTTGTATCATTCCATGTATTAACTGCTCACATTTCTAGTATATATGATTTTGTAGGCAGGAGTCCTGCAGATTAGTTATCTTATTTGTACTTATGTGCCATATTTTTTAAGCAGACCTTTACTATAAAACATTTGTGTGCATTTGCAGCCACTGTGGAAGAAAGACTGAAGATTTATGAGGACAGTTGGACTAAGTTTCCAAAAGGTTTAGTGCCAAGGAGACTGCCCTTAAACTTCTTAACAGGTGTGTAAAAAGGTCATTATGCTACTACTGTTCAGTTGCTTAGTTGTTTGTTCACCCAAAGCTCTTTGTTTTTAGGTGAAAAATTTAGGGTGTGTTTGGATAAATACTTAAGGATGAACTTCAGCAAGGGGTGTCCTCCAGTTTTCAACACTTTGAGGTTGTTGTACAGTGACAAGGAGAAGGTAAAGTAATAGTTTTTTTGGGTAATGATGACTGCTTGTAGTTAAATATGACTCTTTAGCACTACACTAGAATTGTTTGGGGGGAATCATAATTTAATGCATGCAAAGAAATAGCAATCAAGGGGATGCAGCCTTCAGTGCCTACAATTGTTCCTTGGTTATCCCTAGTCAGCCAAAGTACTTCCTTATGAAAAGTCTATTTGCACAAATGGAAACTAGGTTTCTGACTTTCAAAAGAAAATCAGGGATGCATGGCATATTTTTACCCTCTTGACCTAGCCAACAGGCCTTGATGCAAATTACCAGTATAGGGAATGTGGCAGTCTGTACTATGCGCTGTGTTCTGATTTCTTTATGGATGTATGAGAAATAAACAGATGAGACAGTGTATATTTCAAGTTATGATCAATTTTGGTTTATTGATACAATTACTCATTACATGTGATTCCTTTGTCCTATTGGAATTAATCACTGGTTCATTTCCATGGTACTTCCCAGGTGGAGATTATCGAAGATCTTGTTGTAGGTTATGAAACATCACTAAAAAGTTGTCGACTGTTTAATATTAATGGTAAGTTTAACTCCTATAGCCATGTTTATTTTTTTAATTGTCATTGCTAAGCAAACAGCAGTTTCTAGTGTTGTTAATTGAAAAAATATCATGTTTTCTGTATTCGGCATTAAGATGAACCTGTAATTTGTCCATTCAGTGCCAAGGAACAGGTCCTCTTAATGTGCTACCCTTCATGCCCTCCTGAGTGAAATAACTGATTCTCCTGGGTATGGAGGATCGTGTGATTGCCATCCCTTTCATAATGCAATTTAAGACCAGAATTCTTTAATGGTAGATAATTAATTTTTGATTGGTAGTTATTCTAGACCAGGGATCTCCAAACTTCCTAAACAAAGGGCCAGTTTACTGTCCTTCAGACCTTAGGGGGGCTGTACTATGGTCAGTGGGAGTAAAAAAATGTCCTGGCATCAATGGGAGAAACCGTGCCCCATGTTTAGTTATAAGAGAGGAGTAGTGTCCCATCATCGGTATCAATGGGAAGAACAGTGCCCCGTCGTAGGTGTCACTGAGAGGAATAGTACCCAGTCGTAGGTGTCAGTGGGAGGAATAGTACCCCATCGTAGGTGTCAGTGGGAGGAATAGTACCCTGTCGTAGGTGTTGGTGGGAGGAATAGTACCCCGTTGTTGGTGTGATTGGAAGGAATAGTGCCCCAAGGACCAGATAAAGTAAGCAAAGGGCTACAGTTTGGAGACCGCTGCTCTAGACATATAATCTGTTTGTCTCTCTTATTTCATTGTACAGATGATGGGAAAGAAGAGCCACCAACTACATTACTGTGGGTTCAGTACTACTTGGCACAGCACTATGACAAGATTGGTCAACCATCATTAGCTCTTGATTACATTAATGCAGCTATTGAAAGCACACCAACATTGATCGAACTGTTCCTTGTGAAAGCTAAAATATACAAGGTAGATTAATAACCCTGCTCTGTAACTACGTGACAGCAGAGAAACACACCTTCATGACTTTTGAGATTTTAAAATTGTTTAAATTATTTTTCTCAGAATGTCTTTATTATAATCAGAAAAGACGATCATATGAACATACTGAATATCCTTGTTGAAAAATGTTTTCCTAGTGCCTTTTGAAGGTGTTTGGGTCCATTCACCTCTGTTGGCTCTTTAAGTGTGCATTGTATGTTTTTTTTTTTTTATTTTATTTTGAGCAGAAAAGCTCTTATAATTGTGCTAATGCATGTAGAAACTAATTAAAACAATATTTTTTTTAATTTACGAAGAAAATGGCACCTTACGAAAGACTACTTGAAAAGTTCAATGTATAACCTAATTGTTGTATTATGTAGGTTCCATGTTGCCTAGTACATTGAGATTCCTAACAAATTTCAAACCCATGTCTGCAATGCTACTACTTTAATACAGTCTTGTGAATTACCTAAAACTTCCTGGTGAGGGGTTACACAGTCTTCTCCTGGCCTCCCATAATGCACTTCTCTTTGCCTCATTTGCAGTGTCTGAACACTGCCCTGTGCGGAGTAGTTAATAAGTAAAAAAATGTCAGTGTATTGATATAGTAGAAAATCTTCTATTCCATATAAGAGAATTAATTTTTGGGGGGGTCACAAAAAAAAAAAAAAAGAAACAAGAAAAAGGCATGGACACACCACAGCAGCTACCATCCAAACAATGATTTATTGATAATATAAAATGTCATAGCAAAAATAATATATATCGGTGCCCGCTATTATCATTAAGTCATTTTTGGACATTAGCTGCTGTGGTGTCCATGCCTTTTCCCTGTTTATTTTTTTGGTACAACGGTTTTTTTTTTGGTGACACCCTTCCACTTATGCTGTGTATAGCACTGGCACATACTTCATTGGTTAGGGGGCCCCATCAGTGAAGTTGGATTTTTTTTTTTTTTTTGACTTGGCACAGGTTTGTACAAAAACATGTCAAATTCCAGATACCAGCTAGTCTAGGAGCGAACAAGAAGTGTTTTAGGTATCCAAGAAACGTACTATACTGACAATAATCCGAGATTCAAAAATTATAGGCACAGTATGTCCAATCCTCCCTACAATGTATTTTTAATAGTTATCTGTCTCAAGTGATACAATGTGTTATGTTTCACAGTGGTATTCTCTCTGTTTTTTTTAGCATGCTGGTAATATTAAAGAGGCTGTTCGGTGGATGGATGAAGCTCAAGCCCTGGACACAGCAGATAGGTTTATCAACTCAAAGTGTGCAAAGTACATGTTGAAAGCTAACTTGATAAAGGATGCTGAGGAGATGTGCTCCAAGTTTACAAGGGTATGTATCCTTAATTTTTAAAAAAATGTTATGTCATTCTGGCACATTTTTGTTCTCTGCTTGTAAATTTAAAATAAAATTAAGAAGTTCTTACCATAGTGTTCCTAACTTTGATCAATATATCATAGTATTTTGAGCAATATATTAGTTGAAAGATTGGGAAAAATTGAGAGCACTCCCTTGTTTTTTTCAAGGGCAAAGCAGTGGTAGCATTCAAACTGTTTAAGAGCTGATTTGTAGGATTTTGTCACTCAGCAAGGGGATGGGGCAGGTAACTGAAACTGGGATACAGGTTTTCTGTTTTCATAAACGTGAATAGATGGGCGCTAAAGCAACCATGCAACAAAATTTTAAATAAATCAACTCTCTGCATCTTTTAGCAGATAATAGTACTAAACCAAATGTGATATTACATACTCCCAATAAAATCTAAACAATAATAAACATTTGATGATTATATATGTGATATATATTGATCACAATATATATAGTGACAGTCCCATAAAGATACGTTGCTTTAGACCAAAATCTGTGCGCTTTCACCACGTGCAGATGAAATAAGTGAATTTCTCACTCACCCGAGATGGTTGACCCCAATTCACGTGTTCAATTACCGCATTGTTATAATAGGAATAGGAGACCGACAGCAGGCTCTCCTAGAATATCCCTTCCGTTCATCAGCACATCATAGGTGTTGACCCCAGTTGGATATTGACAAGATTCCAGATATAGCATTAGTGAATGGGCTGTTAGTACCAGGCACTCCTTAACCATAGAGGTGATGCTCCAAGTAGCTCAAATAAATCAAATGGGTTAAGCATTCAAGGTGTAATATTTATAAAAATTACATAGTAAATATACATATAGCTTTACACTCACATGTAAAGGTGCCCAAAAAGACCGGCACCAGTTTGTATAGCTTGTGTGATCCGAAAAAAATGGCTGGTCTTGCATTTTCAAGCCTCGCTTTCGCTCGACCAATTGTGACGTCATGGGAACCCAGAAGTGACAGGATCACGCTTCTACGTATGTTTTTCCTGGTGGCGTCTTCAGGAAGTAAACAAACTTTAAAACAATACCTTCAAAGCAAGTAGTGCAGCAAAATAACACCCCTCCCTTCTCATTACAGGAAGGCACTTCAGCCGTGGAGAACCTGAATGAAATGCAGTGCATGTGGTTCCAGACAGAGTGTGCGCAAGCATATAAATCCATGAACAAGTATGGTGAAGCACTTAAGAAATGCCATGAAATTGAACGAGTAAGTGTACATATAATATATATATATATATATATATATATATATATATCTCCTAGAAAAGGAGGTATTCCGTTATATATCACAGCTCAGCTATTTAAAAAGAAGAAAAAAAAAAAAAGTTGCTGTGGCCACCCCACAAATTGGCTGTTTCTTCTACAGGCACCATGGTAAGTGTAGGAAGTGGACATGGAGGATTTGTTGGTCCAAATGTATTTATTTTTATTTTTTTTTGCTATCCTTTTACATCTTATAATCTTCAATTCAGACTTGCTGGAAATCACTTAGCCTTGCCACCTGTATTTTATTTTTTAGGGTAGTGTGGGGGGAAACGACTATTACCACCCTTAATTTGGGGCTATGTCTGTAAATTGATCTGAATTCGTATAAATTCTGCTTCGTGTGCACATAGCTAATATGCATATTATGTTTTGTCATTTTATTTCAGCATTTTGTAGAGATCACTGATGACCAATTTGACTTCCACACTTATTGTATGAGAAAAATTACACTCAGGTCATATGTGGATTTGTTAAAGTTAGAGGACGTGCTCAGACAGCACCCATTTTACTTCAAAGCTGCCCGGATCGCTATAGAAATTTACCTGAAACTTCATGACAACCCTTTAACAGATGAGAATAAGGAGCATGAGGCAGACACAGGTATGTGGGAACATTTTTTTTTTTTTTTTTTTTTTTTTTTTTGTCATTAAAACCTAATATAGCTCAGTTTAACTTCCTTATTACATTAGCAAGCTGTTTTTTCAGACTAACTTGTCCATCTTTTATTCTTGCTTTTGCCTTTTTATTTATGGTACAATAGGACTATTTTTTCCACCTCTGTAAAGAGGGTCAAGAACCATAGCATTGGCATGCATGAAGTGACATTCTAAAGGGCCATTGTTTTAAAAAAGGTATCCGAGATGGATCTGTAGATGCATTAGTGCAGATATGCACATAAAAAAAAAGAGAGTGCTGACTTATTTAAAGCAGTGCCTAACTTTTCTGTTTATGTGTACATTGATCATGACCAGCATACATCAGAATTATGAAGCGGGAATTATTATATGTTCGATAAGCTTCAGTACACTGGGTCTCTTGCATATCTCTTTTCTAAAATAGTTTCATTTAAAATACACACCAAATGATTTTTTAGAAAATTTGAAGTTCCAGTTTTGTTTTGTTTTTTTAAATTGAAGCGCTACTAGGAAATGTTTTTTTTTATAGCCAGTTCTTACCTTACAGGTGTTTGTTAGTTTACCAAGCAATGCAAAAAGCAGGATAGGAGCTGCAAGCAAAAGAGCTGTATTATTGCCATTACACATAGGGGACTGAATTATCTACTTGTATTCTTATGTGAATTACTCTATTTTTCAATTATTTTAAGTTTAATTTTCTTTTTATGCTTTGTTTGGGGGGACCCTGTTAAAGGTTTAGTGTACCTAAAACTTTTAGTTTTTTGTAGATTCTTTTGTTTTTCAGAGGTTCTGATGATGAGATTGTTGGGTCTCCACATCTGCTGCCTTCTGCTTCTCTTCATATTGAACTTTCAATATATAGAGTATGCAGAAGGGAGATAGAAACACCCTTGTAGTACATGAGGGAGGTAGGAAATATGGTTAGGAGATCTTGCTGATGGATTCCCCAAGATATAGACCAGTCCTGCTGAACTGAAATATCACCTTCGGTGGACTAGCTCTTTAATTTTGTATGCATTGAATTCCTTGTTAGCCAATATGTCAGACAAAGAGCTGAAGAAACTGCGAAATAAGCAAAGGAGAGCTCAGAAAAAAGCTCAGCTGAAGAAGAAGAGAAAAAGAATGCCGAAAAGGAGAAACAGCAAAGGAACCAGAAGAAGAAAAAGGAGGACGACGATGAAGAGATAGGAGGCCCAAAGGAAGAACTCATTCCTGAAAAGCTAGCAAAGGTATTTTCAGAAAGCAATAGATTTCCAAGGCTGGATGTGTTTTATCAGCGACACCAAGTAGTGGTGGCCTGAGAGTGGTTCTTCAGTATGAATGGTGGAAATTTTGATTAAAAAGACTACCAGAGCACACCAGGCAGTAGTAGCCTGAGAGCTGCTGTGAGCGTAAATGGTGGGGTTATGAGTAGAGAGACTAATATAGATCAGCAGCTGAGTACCGGTGTTTAATAAATGTATCTTCCCACAATCCAGACATTATGGTAGACAAGGTGTCTTACAGTACCTAACATTAGCCCTAGTTTGCCTGTAGTTGGGACATTAGGTGTTAAGGACGTTGGCACAAGGTCATATGAATTTATGCTTTAATCTGTTGTAAAGAATTCAAATATATGTTGATGTTATAGGAAAATTATAAATATCTTCTCTGTGCATCATATTATTATATTATGTATTTGTCTTATCTGTTTATGCTCTTGGCTTTGACGCCAATGTTTTTGTTTAATCAGGCGTTGTTTTTTTCTTCATGCAGGTGGAAAATCCACTAGAAGAAGCTATTAAATTTTTAACACCACTAAAGAATTTGGTTAAGAACAAAATAGAAACACATCTATATGCATTTGAAATATATTTCAGGAAAGGTAAGAGAACATATGTTCTGTATGTATGTTGAAAAGTTTGAGTTCATAAATATTTGGACTTTGTATAAAAGCTGTTTTATTGCAAAAAAATAACATGTATGACAAGGCTATATCTATACAAAGACATTGGAGAACAGTGTTCGACCTGGTTCACACCAATGCGGCATTGCATTGCAATTGCATCACGTTCATGCGACCTCGTGCGGGTGTCAATGATTAATGACACCCCAAAACAGATCGCAAACAAAAATCACATGAATGAGAACACCCATGCTATGCAATTCAGCTGCGGATTTAAAAAAGGGTCCTGCACCTTTTTGATGCGGATGCGATTTGAGCCATAAAAAATGTATGGCTCAAATTGCACCGCACAGACATTTACATGTAATTTGCACAGGAATGTGGTGCTAATTAAATGCAGTGTCCCGCACCACATAGTGTGAACCCAGGCTAAATAGTAAGAATTTTGTTTCTGAAGCACATCAGTCTACAACCGTGTTTATCAACTTTTTTCAGTTGTGGCATCCTTTGAGTTCACACTTGCGCGTTTGTGATCTTGGGCAGAATTGCAGCAATTCTGCACGCGATCCCAAAATGTTCTGTAAAAATTACCAATCACACATGCCTGTTTGGGTGGCATTCGTTTTCAATGGCACTAAAACGCAATGCAGATTGTCGCTCAAAAAGGAGAAGGAGCTTCTTTTGGCCACCAAGCTTCGCACAATGCGGTTTGCTACGATTGCAGTGCAAATTATCATGCCTGAACCGCACCACATTTTGGTGCCGTTGAAAATGAATGGTTCCCGAACATGCATTGTGCAATTTTGTATTTTTTGCAGAGCATTTTGAGATCGGGGGCAGAATCACAGGGACTGTCAACGGGTCCTGAAAGTATGTGGAATCTTGAGCCATCCCTGTCTAAATTGTGAAAAATCTAAATGTTACTAATCAGTGGGAAACTTGAGACTGAGACAATGCACACAACTGCCTTGATGAAATTAACTTCACATCGGAACCCCTCCCCCTTCACATCCAAGGTTCCCCCATCACATCAGATTTCTCCCAGTCACAGATATCCCCCAAATCATGCAGTCACACCTTCACAGAGCCCCCAATCGGTCTCCCCTTTGCATCAAAGCCTTACCTTTTTCTTCAGCAGTGCAGCGGAGGGAGGAAGGTGGAGGGGGTATGGAGGAAGTGAACATTCATCTCTTCCTGGAGGCTCTGGATCAGAGTTGCGTTGCCATGGTTCAGACAAACTGGCTGCCATCACCATACAACCAAATGACTCCTTGCCTCCCGGCTTTAGAGTGTCATTGTTTGTTATGGTGCTGTATTCTCTCTCTCCCTCCTCGTGTGTGTGTGTGTGTGTGTGTGTATGTGTGTCTGTCTCCTCTCTCCCCCTCTTTCTCTCCTCCCCCCTTCCTCACCCCCCCCCCTTCCTCTCTCTCTCCCCCCTCTTTCTCCCCCCCACCTCCCTCCCTCCCCCCTCCCTTTCTCCCCCCCTCCCTTTCTCCCCCCCCCCTCCCTCTTCTCCCCCCCCTCCCTTTCTCCCCCCCCCCCCTCTCTCTCTCCCCCCTCTCCCTCCCTCTCTCTCTCCCCCCTCCCTCCCCCCTCTCCCTCTCCCCCTCCCTCTCCCTCCCCTCTCCTCTCTCTCCCTCTCCTCTCCCTCTCTCTCTCCCCCCTCTCTCTCCCTCCCTCTCTCTCTCCCTCCCTCTCTCTCCCTCCCTCCCTCTCTCCCTCCCTCCCCCCTCCCTCCCTCCCTCCCTCCCTCTCCCTCCCTCCCTCTCCTCCCCCCCCCCTCTCCCTCTCTCTCCCCCCCCCCCTCTCCCTCTCTCTCCCCCCCTCTCCCTCTCTCTCCCCCCTCTCCCTCTCTCTCCCCCCCCCCCTCTCTCTCCCCCTTTCTCCTTCCCCCCCCCTCCCCCTTTCTCCTTCCGCCTGCCCCCTCCCCCCCCCCCTTTTGGAAGGGAGGAGGAGCTGAGTGCATTGGCGAGGGACCGCTCTGTGCAATGGTATTGCACAGAGCAGGTAATTATTACCTATAAGGCTTACCTGTAGGTACTGTAAATATCTCAAACGTGCACCATTTCATAAATATTTACTTGTTAAGCAGCACTGGCGCATGCGCTCTGAAGGTACGGTGTGCCTGTGCCGTTCGTTCAGAGCTCCATGCTAGTGACATCATAGCAGTTCAGCCATTTAAGCTGCCGAAGCTTGTGAACCCGGAAGAAGGACCCAGTGAAGATGGAAGCCCTGCCAGCGGTGACAGCGTACCGCTGAAGGGCTTCGTTTTAAGGTAGGTTTCACATGACATTGGCTAGCAAGGGAAGTTTTTTTTTTTTTTTTTTTTTTTTTTAATCTGGTTTACTACCACTTTAACAATAATTGTATTTATATATACGATTAATAATCATATTATATATAAAAATTTCTGTGGGTGCATTTGTTGGCTTATAATAAAAAGTAGATATATATTATGTAAAACAGCTTTTATTACAGTTTAAGAAATTTTAAACAACATTTTTGTGGTAAGCAGATTAGTCAGTTGTAGTCAAGTTAACTAGCACATTCTGACAGTGCTACATTTGGCCTGGACATCCAGACTTCAGTGACCTCTGAACACAATAGTTAAAGAAGTCCCATGTTTACTGCATACACTTTTCATTTCATTTTCTCAACTTCCTGGATTCCCTGCATGCTTTGCATCATCTCCGCTGCTGTTTACTTTCAGTTTCTAAGTACTATATATCCCTTGCTGCCTGCTAGCAGTGATTCTTGTACTGACTTCAGACTCCTGAAACTCTTCCTCTCAGCACCTCTGTAGTTCAGATGTTAGGCTCTGTGAATTCTGTGACATAGCAGTGTCTGCTTACAGGACATTGTTTATACATGTCACAGAATTCAAGCAGGTAAATGTGTGGGCATCGTCACAAACTTTAAGATGGTTTCTATTATTAGGACTGGGTCATAAATGAACTACAACCACAATTATACAAAATTTGAGATGATGTGTAAAATCTACATAAAAACAGATTGCAATTATTTGCAAATTTCACAAACCCATGGTTTATTTACAATAGAGAATAGAAAAATATCAAATATTTAAAACTGAGAAAATGTACCATTTTAATAACAAAAATAAGGTAATTTTGAAATCGATGGCAAAAAATGTCTCAAACGGGTTGGTGCAGGGCCATGTATACCATGATTGTGTTTAACAACACTCTGTAAATGTCTGGGAACTGAGGAGAACTGAGGCAGGCCAGTTATGCACCTAGACTCTTTTACTACAAAGCCATGCTGTTGTCATGGATGTAGTATGCTGTTTATCACTGTCCTGCTGAAATATGCAATGTCTTCCCTGAAAAAGACATTGTCTTTGGATGGAAGCATATGCTGCTCTAAAACCTGGATATAACGTTCGGGATTGATGGTGCCTTTCCAGATGTGCAAGCTGCCCATTCCATACACACTAATGCACTCCTATACCATCCCAAATGCAGAGTTTTGTAATGAGCGCGCTAATAAGAACACAGCGCCAGAAAGGAGAAACAATGTGGACCAAAACAGGTCCAATGAAGGACATTCAGGGCTCGTATTATCTCTGGCTTCACGGCCTAAAATAAACCCCGTCTGATCAGGAGGATGACACCTGGAAAGGAGTTCCCTCAGTCTAGTCGCTAAAAGCTTAGAAAAAATCTTAACATCAGAGTTCAGCAACAAAATGGGACTATAGTTTTGACATTACAGGGGGTTCTTTCCCTGGTTTAGCAGTAACAGCAATATGAGCTAGCAAGGCTTCTCTAGATAAAGGGGAGGAGGCCGTGAGGGCATTAAAGTATTCACTCATTGGCCCAGCTAGAAGGTGACCCATGCGTTTATAATAAGCATTAGAAAAGCTGTCAGGTCCCGGGCTCTTACCATTAGGAAGGTCTGAGATAACCGAGGCTACCTCAAGAGGAGTGACTGGGTGCTCTAAGTCTGTGATCACGTCCACCGCCAGGCGGGGGAACTTCACCTCACCAAGATATTGACAAATAAAGGTCCTACGGGGAACAGTCTGGGATTGGTCAGGAGTCCGTTTAATATTATATAAGTAGCTATAATATTCCCTGAAAGCATCTGCAATACGAGTAGAGTCAACTACAGGTTTGTCAGGAACTATCAGCTTATGCACATGAGATAAGGCCTGCCATTTTTGACGGCCACACTTATTCCCATGCTCATAAAATTTATGTGCATAATACCTCATCTTATTTTTAGCCTTTTTCTCAAGGCAGTACGACAGCTTGGCCCTAAGATCCTTCAATGCAGACAAATCCGA